TCTATTCTCCTTCTTTTCTTCTCCCTAAAAGAAAGAGAGAATAAAAGAAGGGTCAGCATCACGCTACACACTGGGCGCCGCGAGGGGATGGGGGGGCGAGGGGACGGGGCGGGGGGGTTGAGGGGACCCCGGGTGGAGGCGGTGACCGCCCACCGCCGCGCTCTCTCACAACCCAGCCCGGCCCGGGGCGCCTGCACAACCCGGGTACTTACGGCTCCTCGCCATCCGCCATATTGTTCTCCGCCTCTTCCCAGGCGCCCCCACGGCGGGCGGGCGGAGCGAAGGGGCGGGGCGGGGCCGGATGGGAGGAGGCGGGGCTGGCTGAGAGAAGGCGGGGCCGGCGAGAAGGGGCGGGGCCGGCGAGGCTGAGTTTGCTGAGACTCCCATGGGTTTAAAGATTTCTTTGTAATTAAAATCTTGATTAACTACACTTAGTCAGAGAAATCTTACCCAGTGTATAAAGCCGTTATGTTGCTTGAAAATATAGGCGTAAAACATAATTTGTTTATACAAGTTATGTATATACAAAGCATCTAATCACTTAAAGATAAATGTTGATAAAATTTTAGACTATTTTTTTTCAGAGTCAGAGGTTGATAGGTAGCTACGTAGGCACACAGATGGATGTGTATGGTGTGTGTGTGTGCGCGTGCGTGTGATTTTGTGTCTGGATTTTGGATACAGAAAAATAACCATGTTCAAAATATATATATGTATATACACATATATCCTTTCTTGGAGTGGGAGAAAAATGAGATTTAGAGTCAGAAAGAACAGTTTAAATTCTTAACTCTCTACCTATGAGACCTTGGGCATTTCTGCGTCTTCATTTGTAAACTGAGAATAATACTGTTCACCTTGCAAGACTGGAATTAAATGAAATCCTCAGTGCTTCTCAAAATATAGTCCCTGATTAGCCACATCAGCACCATTAGGGAACTTGTTACAAATGCAAATTTTCGGGCCCCACCCTCAACCTTCTGCAAAGCCCTGGATGATTCTGTACAAAATAAAGCTGACAACCCCTGAAATGGAATACTTAAAGCCTGATGGGCACTCAGTAAATGCAGCTGCTATTAATAAATTATGATATTTAGTCTTCTGTTTGTCCTTTATTATCCCTCAATCAGGTTCAATTCAATAGCATTCACTGAGCAGAAAGTCAGTGCCAGGCAGTACATGGAGGGATAGAGTTCACAGTCCACAGTTCACAGTCAGTAGCAGGAGACACCAGCCTCTCTCCAGGTCACATGTTTCAAAATCAACCCAGAATCCTCTTTCTCTTGCCCAGATCACTCTGCAGATGGCAACTACTAAGGTTAAACCCTTCTTTTACAAAGCAGGCTCATGTGAACTGGGTCCCCAGCAATGCTACTTTTAGGAGACCTTTCCATTAGTGGCAGTGAGTACCACAACCCCCTCAGAGGGTAAAAATCAACGGACATCTTGGAGATCACATAGTCCAAACCCACCTGTTTCACGAGGAGGAAACTGAGGCCCAGAAACAGGAAGCTGCTGGCCCCAGAAGAGGTCTGCAAAGGCATCTGGCCCTGCCTCTGCGTGCCTTGGGACTAACACTCCGACTCACTGTGGTACTATTTCGATAGATGATACCAGGCACTCCCACTGGCTCAGACTGACAGATAAGAAATGGCCACCTGTCCTTCCCAGTAATAAAAGTAACAGAGACATGCAAGCAAAACCCACAACAGATTTATTTCATTTCAAGTGGAATATATTACAGAATCTTAGACTCCGCTGTGGTTTTTTGTACAGACAGATAAATACGCCGGATGGCCCTATCCTGAAGCACAGATTTGGACAGAAGAGTCCCAGGAAGGCCTCCACGTTAAATATGATCCCGCAGAGTGAACAGTGACCAAGAGCTGTTCCTAAAAGCATTTCAAACAGAGACTGAGATAAAGGATTGCATATGTGTTCATTTTTATTTAACATGATTTTATAACAAAGGTAAAAACCTGTCGTGGGAAAAAAAAAAACAAAAAACTTCTTCCTTAGTCCCAGAGAGCAAAGCGTGGTTAATATTTTAGGAGACAGGAGGAAAGGGATCATGCTGTATACAGCTATATTCAGCTTTTTTCACATCTATTTTTAAACCTCTTTGGTGGTTTAAGCAAATCAATTTTAAAATACTGAACAAATGTTTACTGGATAACAACTGCCTGTGATCAATGAGTAATCATGTGATTACTAACACACACGACAGCTTATGGTCATGCAGTCCTGAGCAACTGGAAGGAAGAAGTCCTAATGCTCACTGGTCTCTCCAACAGGTGTGGGGGTCATCCTGGGGCTACACTGTTCTTGACCAAGATCATTTACTTAGCCTGCCCACAATGCTGCTTCTTGAAATCCTTAAGCCCCAGGGGATTCTTCCACACTCTCTGACTTCCTGTAACTGAGCACCAAGGCCTGGCAACATCTCTGCCTAGTACTCCTCTTGCTGTCTTGTATTTATGTTAGTGTTTCCATTGCATTGCAAGGTCCTTGAAGGCACAGTAGGGCTGCATTCTTTCACCTTTTTCACCTGGAAAGGACTCAAAATACCTGTTGGCATCATATTGAAATTTTTCAACTTTTTTTTTTTTTGCTATCAAGTCTACCCAGATACAACCACAGCAATAAAACTGCAACAAGATAAAGGAAGGTCAGTCAGTGTTTATTATAATACCAGAGAAAACTCAGGTTTAAGCACTATTAAGACCACACAGATCGGAGTGGGAAGGGATAAATTGGGAGTTCGAGATTTGCAGATACTAACTACTATATATAAAATGGACAAACAACAAGTTTCTACTGTATAGCATAGGGAACTACATTTAATTTCTTGTAGTAACCTATAATGCAAAAGAATATGAAAATGGATATAGTATGTATATGTATGGCTGAAACATTATGCTGACACCAGAAATTGACACAACATTGTAAACGGACTAAATTTCAATAAAAAAATAAAAAAGAAAGAAAATGTGAGCGCTCAGGAACATTTTCACATTTTAAACTTCATTCAAAAAAACATCACCTAGGCTATATCTTAGCACTGATTCGATTCAATCACCACACTTTTCTAAACACCGGTGGCAGGAATTATTGCCTAGAGTCATTGAAATTTCCTTACCTGCCTTCTGGATCATCAAGGGAAATCAAATCATGTCTTCTAGACTTTGCATTAGGTATATTTAATTGCTGTCCGATATTTTGAAAATTGGTGGTCCAAGGGGAGTGAATTTAGTTTTTTAAAAATAGCACCGCTTGCAGGTTTAGAGGCTTTGTTATCTTAGACACAAACACCTTAGAATTCTGCATACCACACAGTTAACCACACTATTAACCAAAATACTTTATTCTCATGCATTTTGATAAACGGAGCTTTACTCTATAAACCAACCCCTTAACAGAATATAGGATGACTCTTTGGAACCCCTAAAAGGAAATTTACAACTAATACATCTCTTGGCAGTTCCTTGGGCTGGGATGCAAAGCTATCACATCATCTATTAAAATACTGTGCTCCCTTAGAGTTGACTGCAGATATTAGGATAAAACTAAGAAAGCTTTTTTTTGTAGTGGAATCCATGTTTCCGCCCAGAAAATACTGAGTGCAGAACAATCAGTAGATTATTGGTTGCTTTCAAATGTAAACAACGTGCCCAGCTCAGGACTGAACTGACCAGAGTGCCCACTTAATCAGAATGGCACAGTAGTTGGATAAATTTGCCCCCAGAGAATAGGGATAGAGAACAAATAAAAGAAATGAAAGAACAAAGCAGCCCTTCCGTTCTAAATGTCTTTCTTTCCTATTTTGCCAAACTGATTTCACTCCTAGTGACTCATGGTGAAACAAACATGCGAATTCCTTTCAGATGTGCAAAGGTTAGTAAATACTTAATTTTCAAAACCACCTCATCCACCAGTAACACTAGGTTGCATTCCACACCATTTCACTTAGATTGGTATCTGAAGAGCTGCAAAAATTATCCCTAAGGCCCAGAACACATTCCTAGGTTAGATACTCAAAAGGGGTATTTTAAAGGAGGCTGTTTATATTCAGACCGCCAGCGAAGGCATTGCCACCTCGCTTCAGACAGGGGATTTCCGCTGGTTTCTTTCTTTCTTTCTTTCATCTCGGTTTCACACACTGTCCCTGGCTCTGTCGTGGGGCCCCAGTTATCCCGTAACCAACCACTTAGAACCAATCAAAAAGTAAAGAACAGAAAAAGGGCCCGCCCGCTTCCAACTTCCTTTGCTTCGCTGCCCGCCAACCGCAGAGCCGACCGAGCCAGAGCGGCTGTCATCTTTCACCCAGCTCAGCTGATCGGTTGCCGCGGCCGCCGCCGCCAGATTCCAGAAGCAAAGAACAAGAAGCTGGGAAGCGAGACATGGACGTGACCATCGCTCCGCTCCGCGCCTGGGACGATTTCTTCCCGGGCTCTGACCGCTTTGCCCGGCCGGACTTCAGGGACATTTCCAAATGGAACAATCGCGTGGTGAGCAACCTGCTCTATTATCAGACCAACTACCTGGTGGTGGCTGCCATGATGATTTCCGTTGTGGGGTAAGTAGGGTCCCCGCCACCCCGGGTACCGATCGGGGTCAGCACGGAGGGGGCTCTGGGTGCAAGATCCGAGGATGCGGAAACGCATCTTCCACGCCCAGCGCCTGCCCTCGTAACTGCAAGCGGCCAAACCAGTGGAAACTTGTTCGCAGGGCGAGGCCGCAGCAATCTGGGGGTCCCCTTTTCCTTCCTAAGCCTCGGAATGAGGCATGTTGGCGGAGCCCTCGGGGGCGAGGAAATGTTGCCAACGTCGGGCAAGAAAAAAATGACTCCCCCCTCCCCCGTGTTCGGATTAGACTCTTGCTAAGGGTGATATTTGTCTCAGTCTTTTAAAAATAAGAAGAAACAGGAAAGTCGTGTAACCTTATCCAGGGGCTGGCTGGGGCGGACGCCGCCCTGGAAGGCTTGGGGCGACAGGGTGTGGATCAGGACTCTGTCTTCTGGGGTGTTAGTGAAAAAAGGACATCAGAGAGGCGACACGCTTTATAGGTTTCTCCTCCTAGTATTTGCCACATTGTACAGGAAAGCTGAGCTTGGGAGCCAAAGGGTGGGTGTAGCCTGGTGGCGCATCTCCCAGTGGGGGAGTGAAGTCCGCCCTGATCTAGAAACGGTGTCCGTTTGGCTTTTTCTTCCAAGAGTTGTCCGGCGTGGTGACTTTATCTTCACACCTCATCTTAAAATTAAGTGTCCTGTGTTATATAGGATTTCACACATGCACACACATCTGCTCTGCTGGAAACCACTTTTTCTTGTAGTTCACCCTTTAAGAAATGCTTTGCTATCTTTTATGAGACAGCGTGGTGATACACTAGATCATGCTGATCGCAAGACCTTTAAAGAAAAAGCCACCCTCAGACTCTATAAAGGAACTCACTTGCTTTTAAAGAAGTGCCCGACATTTCTATTTGAAAGCAGACACAGAGGGGAAAAGCAAGCTGGCCTGGGAGAAACGAAAAATCTACACTTGGAAGGTGTAGGAAAGGGCAGATAGGGTGGTCTCTGAGGTTGGTTTGCTGTTCTTTGGCTTACTGAGTCACTTCCCTTGCCAAGTTTGGGCACACCAAGATCAATCAGACATGAACCCTGGCCCAAGGGCACATGACAGTTGTTGAGAAGCTATGGGACCAAATACCCAGAATAGAGGAAAGAGAGAGTTCACAGTTGCTGGGTGTGGTTCAGGGTCGTTGCCCCAACGCAGAAGTCGACTCTTGCTTGTGGGATTTGGTAGACAATTACACAGATTCTCCTGATGTGTTGCTTAAGGGATTTCAAACTCAGAATGGCTTGGTGTGTGGAGGGCATGGGCTCTGAATTGTACGGCAGCCAAGTTAACGTTAGTTGGAGTAGGACAGGCCCGAAGCGGCTGCCTTCTGAACCTTCCCCTAGCTTTCTGCTTACGGCTTATTTTCCTCTGATCAATAAAAAGTTTCTTTAAAATGAAATCAGTGGTAAATAGGATTGCATCTGTTGTTTTTGCTTTTGCTTTTGCTTTTGCTTTGTAAAGAAGTCAGCAAAAGGCATCTTATCTGGTGATCTAGCTATGGGATTTTTTTTTTTTTAGGTACCCTACAAAACTTAGATGTGGGATGAGATTTGACACAGATCCATCCAATATACAGAAAAAAAAAAGTTGCTTTTCAAAGAGATGTAGTGCCCAGATCAGGCGCAAGCTCGGGCAGCCATGCTGCCTTGATGGAATTCATTCTCCCCTGTGGAAGCGAGGGGGGGTGGGCAGTCCCTGACTAAATATAGCTGCCTCATTAGTGTCCTAGCCCACTAACTCAGGCAGTTTCCCCATTTCCCTCTGCAAACAGACGTTGACTGGTGGTGAAATTTTTGAAGGTAAAAGTGAAAGGTAGCCATTTCATTTTTAATGAATCTTATTTTACAAAACTTAAAAAAAGGTTCAGACTAGTTAAGTTGTTTTGAAAATTGTGTGGCAAGTGTTAGATTTCCTTTGTACCCCAGTAAAATCTGGCATAGGATCTTCAACTGTTTTCTGTACGTTGACAAATGCAGCCTGTAGTTCTTTCCATGAATTGCTCTTTTCTTTCTTTATAATCCAGTCATAATAAAAAAACTAACATTTATTCAGTGCTCTGTGTGCCAGATGCTTTGCTAAGGAATTTACCTGCATTCCCTCATACAACCCAATGAGATGAAATACTAAGATTATTGTAGTATTATTATTATTATTATTATTATTATTATTATTATTATTAATGTTATCATTATTATTAAACTGGAGGCTCAGAGAGGTTAAATGAGCTTCTCAAAGTCACAGACCCAGGCTTGTGCTCTTAACTACTATGCCATCTCCCTATGAATCATGAGGTTTAGAATTACAGTATCTTAAAGCTGGAAGAAACCAGGTATCTTCAGGGTCAGAGAGCTGAGATGATTCTGGAATGTTTCTCATTCTAAAGAGAACTCTCCTCTTTTGGTGATGTCAACAGATGGGAGTGTCGTCGGAACAGTGCTGGAGGCTGTTCGTCTGGGTCCTCTACTGGCATCTGATAGTTTCTCATGATACCTTGGCAGAGTGTGTGTGAAAATATGGCCAGGGTGTTTCCCGGGGAAGGACTGTGTTTGAAGGGTCTTCCTCAATGGGGGCCTGCCGCCCGCTGCTGGACAGAAGGGGCCCACCAGGGTATTGTTGGAGCGGCTCCAGCCTCAACTATGAATGCATCTCCTTAGGTGAGGATAGAGAGCGCTTGCCCTTGAAGACTGCAGGCAGGGAAGGGGAGGACCAGGTGGGTATCACCTAGCTCCAGAACACCCAAAAGGGCAGCCTAGGCCGAGATGGAGATTAAGGGGGATTAGGAGAGAGAGATCTGTGTGCGAGGGTCTGATCAGGCAGGGCTGGTAATCCACGGTTAGAAGTTTGTTCTTCATCCCAAAATCATGGTTCCCCAGGTTATGACTTCCACTGAGTAGCTCTACTCTGCCCCTTAGATTAACTCTAAGTCTCTTAGTTAATAGCCCTTGCTGGGGACAGTCACCGTATCTTATGGCTCTTCATTAGTATAAGGTAGTGGTTAAGAGTTTAGGCACCAGAACTTGGTTAATTCAATTTTGAATCCCAACCACCAGTCACTAGGCGTGTGACCTCAGGCAGGTCACTAGAACCACGCTGTGGGGCAGCTTCCCCATCTGTAAAATCAGACTAGTTCCAGTACCCGCAGGGTAGGGCTTTTGTGAGGCTTATCTGAGTTAATATGGGCCAGTTTCTTAGAAGTATCCGGCTCCTACTTTTTGCTTCACAAAATTTATTTTGGAGTTTCCACTATTATTTTTATCATTAGTGTTATCATAGACTTACTGAGAAACATAGACAGCATCTTTGTCCCAGCAGCTCCAGCCACACAGACACCAGTCCCCAACCTACTCACCTGCTGCTGCTTCTCCTACGAGACTGAGCTTTGGTACCTTCTCTCTGAGGAGCATCCTCCCTTGCCCCCCACTCCCCACAGCTGTGCTTGTTATCCTGCCCGGTGCTTACCCAACAGGCTTTTAAGTTGTCTGTTCACTCGTCTCCACTCTGACCGATAGACTCCTTGAGGCCAGAGTCAGTCAGTTTTTTTTGTGACTTTCCCCCCATTTTCTTGGTGTTGTGGTCAGCGTTATTTTTATTCTGTGTATCCCTGAGGCCTACTTTACATAGCATATGCTTAGCTGGTCAGTGCAGAGAGTCAATAAATGAACGGAAGGTTTCAACATGATCACGGGAGCAACTTTAAGCCCATTTAACCAAATGAATTATTTTGAAGTACACATAGCAGCATGCCAGCACATAGCAGTAACATGCCCCTGGAGTGAGTGATCCTAAGTGGGTCGTTGCTGACAGTGCTTGCCACATATTGGTTAGGATGACTATGGTGTAAAAATTCACTTTTAAAAGGTTTGTAATTCAAACGCTTGGCCACCTCACATTACCCTTGCAAATTTGGTGAAATACCCTTTTGCAAAGTTTTTCCAACTGGATGCTGTTGGCATCTCGGGCCGTGGAATTCTTTGTTGTAGGGGGCTGTGTGTTGCAGGCTGTGGAGCACCATCTCTGCTCCCTACTCATGGAATGCCGGTAGCGCACCCCTCTTCAGTTGTGACAGTTAAAAATGTCCCCAGACATTACCAGATATCCCCTGGGGATCAAAATCACCCCCGGTTGAGAACCACTGCTCTTTTGCCAAGAAGATCACGATGATCCCTCAATGTCATCCTTACGAAATGCACATTGCTTTACAACAAGTTACAAGAACAGAGTTCTTGGCAATGACAGAGCAAAGTAGTTTGACGTTAACTCCTGGCTCCTGACTTTTCAAACACAAGAATGGAGTGGACTTGAAACTTTACACAGCTTTGATCGTTATCCTTAATTTGATGTGCAATTTTTTAAAATTAAATTTGATATGCTATCATTCTTTTTTCACTCTGTCTGGAAGACTCAACTGGTTCCACAGACTTAGTCTTTTTATTTTTTGATAGACTTCTGGCCTTCGCTTTTATTGGCTTAGTTCACTGGCTCAGGAGTCCCACTGCTATAGAAGAGGAATTAAATGACTTCAGTAATATGAAACATACTAAGGCCTTGCAAATGATAACACTCAAATGTTAGCTGCTATTATTATTATTGTATTAAATCCTAGGTTGCAGGCATATTTAAAATTCTCACAATTTGTGTATTCTCTTAAGCAGAAGCATTAGACGATGGTTATATTTAGTAATTTTGTCATAATTGCAACTTGTGTTTCTTATAAACCTTTGCTTCCTTGAAGACATGAGTGTCCTTTTGAAATCAGGCATCACTTTAGAAGAGACTGAAGGACTTAAAAAAGCATGAATAACAAGCTGAGGAATGTGTGTCTGGCTGAACATGACTTTGCGTCCTTTAAATCGAGAAGGGAACAGTGTCTGAGATAGAAGAGGACGTCACTTATCCTCTCCATCCTTGATATGAGACATCTGCGCACTAGAGATTCTTTTTACATCACATACAGCAG